CAAAAAAGTCAGTATTTTGGGTGAAAATGAATTTTTTGCTCAATGACTCCGGTTAAAGATGGTACCATTCGATGCAGAATTTAATTCTGCATATAACCCAGCCAAGTAGGGAGCCAACCCAAGTCGAAAAGCGAATCGGGACGCAAAAAACTCGAATATGGTGCTAACTTTACCTACGTTTATATTATTTATCTCTATCAGCGCTACCTGTAGGATAATTTTTTTGATGATTATAAAGGAATGACTCAGATTTATTCAAAAGAACTTTTAATTTACAAGCAGAAAAAAATCAAAGATTTCCGTAAAAATATTTATTCAATAAAAATACTCCGTATGTCTTTGTTTTTCTCAGTCAACTCCATTATGACACTAAGCTCATCAATTAGACATAAATCATATATTAAAGAATAAGAGGAATAGACAAAAATTTTTACAATACACCATTTTGATTCTGAAAGAAACAGATGCTATGAAGAGATATAAAGAGACAAAATGAATGCAAGATCAAGTTTGCTATCGGTATTACTCGCAAATTATTTCTGACGAGAAACGAAAGCCTGTGGATGTCAAATTGCAACATTCTTCGAAGAATAGATTATAGATATATTTGAACTTTTACTGGGACAAAGCAACTAAGATTTTTCAACGACCAGTACAGAAAATCACTAATGAAAAAAAAGAACTGAGCTAAAATTTGAATAGAGTACCATGAAGACGATAAACGTATATGCATTATTTTTTCTTCGTATAATCTCTTTTAAGAAATTGCGATTGTTAGAAAATAATGATCTAAGTATGACTCATTAGAAATTTTATGAAAAATTTTAAAAAGTATCACAGGATTAATCAATGAAGGAAAATAATTTATCAGAGTCGTTACATCGGTGTCATCTTACCCATGGAGTCAATAAATGAAAGAAATTCCAGACTTTCGTGAATTTTATACCAAGAGCACGAAAACAATGGTATTTCGAATGATGAAATTTTTTTTATTTTTCACCTTTCTGAGCATCTATAACTTCTTCAACTTGTTCAACAAGTTTTTTCAGTCAAATTAAATTTGTTCTAATCAGTCTATACTTGTTCTTTCTGTACAAAACTGTTTCTTTCTTTGATGATATTCAAATAGATTCTACTGTACTATGATCATAATATTTAACTGCAGAATGAGCCTATTTAAACCATATACCTTTGAGTGTAACATTGTGAAATGTTTGTCTAACTTGTAGCAAGCTCTTACTTCATGAAACGGTGTTTTTACTGTAAATATTAATCTAAGTATCATTTAACTTATTTGCAAAATAGCATGTTTTCTTCAGAAAAAATGCGTTAAAGAAAACAACGTTCCAACACGCTTGTAAAAACCTTGTTTTTCACAAAAAACACATTCAAAAATAAAAACGTTCTTGTACGTTTGTAAAAAATTCATTTTTTTGATAAAAGAATGCGTTGAGATGCATGAAAAATAAATGCGTCCGAACGCATAAAAGCAAACGCGTTCAAATGATGATATCAGGTGGCATTTTTATTTCAAAAAACGCGTTGTAAATAAAAACAATACGTTCAAACGCATCTCAAATAAAAAGGAATACGTTCAAACGCGTCCTAAATACACTAATGCATTTAAACGCAAAAATAGAGTTTTCCTCAAAAAAAGTTGGCGTTCAAACGCTACTTTTTGCAAATTTTTTTCCATGGGTACGATCTTGTATGAACATGTAAGAATCTGTGATCGATCTTATTGTCTGATTGAATGATTTGAATTCATTCGTTTGAGCTAAAACTTTCAGAATGTAATAAATGCTTTGAAATCTATTGTTGGAGAAAATTTCAAATAGAAACTCTTTATTACAAATTGTTTTTCGTAATATCGTGTAATATGTTGAAAGTTCAATAAAATGATCATAAAAGGCTTAAGGGTACGAACAAGTTTAATGTTTTCATCATGACTATGAGTCCTACTTATGGGTTCGAACAGAGAACATCAGTTGGAGAAGTTCTCTCGATATCTATTTGCTGATAAATAGGACAAAAAAACAATGTTTGTTCATGTTTTTATCAGAATCATACAAATTATATTTAAAAAACAAAACGATCTAGTTTATATTCGATCAAAAGTTTTCATTCCTATGAGTTATTATTTAAACCATAAAATAAAAAACAAGGAAATATTTGGTACTTTTCGACAAAATATATGAAAAAAACATATATCTTCATGAATTTTCAGGTGTAGTAATAGAAATTGGTGATATGATTGGATTTTTTTTTAGTTTTACATTGGGTTCTTGTCGTTGTAACATTTCAGCAATAGCATGGTGAAAACTTGATTGATTAAATAAAAATGCACTAACATGTCCATGAGGAATATATCGAATATGAACACCAGGCCATACATCATTCATATGTGGAATATCATCATGTAATACATAACCATCATGTGTACAAGCAATAAACATTGCATTAGATATATTTGATTGAATTGGACGTGAATAATTATGTAAAGATGTAAATTCATCCATAAGAAGACGCATCATATCTTTAATAGGGTCAAGAACAATCTTATTTGAATCTATTGATCTATTTCGTTCACGTAAATAATCATAAAATGTTTGATAGGCTTTATTTTCATAGAATTGTCGTTTTAAAAGAGACCATGGAATAGTTCGTGAAAGTACACCATCACAAAATACTGTTGAACTTGATGACCAAGAAGCACAGGATAAAAGAGAAAGTGGACCAGACCAACTAAAATATAAATATATATACAATAGCTACCAAAATTATTCAACTTTTACTCAATAGAAAAACCATCGTAGGAAGTTCAAGTACTAGATACTGAGAAATTAGGCTTTTGGTTTTCTAAAAAACTCTAACTTAGGAAATCAGATAATCAATGTTTTTAATTTATACTCTTTTTGTAATATGATTTACTCTACTTGAATCACTATTTCAAAATCCATTTATTAAATGAATCTTACTTTGTAAATGCTAATGAAGCCATATGTTCACCAAGAGAAAAACCATGTAAAATAGCTGGTGTTAATTTCATTTTTTGACACCAATGAAGTAATAGAAGTGTTTCTAAAACAAGTGCTTTACCCATAATATATAAATCAGTAACATATAATAATGATGAGCGAGATTGATCTGGTGGTTTTCTTAAACCATAATATGAATTTTCAAGAAGAATTGAATCTATACGATATTGATTAATTAATGGAACTGCAGTAAGTAGCCTTCGTCGACTAAAACCATGATTACCTCTGTTTCAGCATAACAAATTCCTATTGGAATTGAATCAATACCAAAACGATGATCACGTGGTAAAATAAGTTGAAAATGAGCTGTAGCTACTTGAGGTGGAATCTATTCAAATAAATATATCAAAAGAAAAAAAAAAGATAATATTAATTAAATTTATTTTAATTTCTTACCAAATGTGGTAAATAATTAGCAAGTGGTGAACGAAATCGAGCATTTATATAATTTTGATTACCTTTTATTTCTTGTTTAATTATTTCAACAGTATTTTCCTGTACATTTTCAGCTGGTACAAGTTCTAAACACTGATCTCTTACACCAATTTTTTCACATCGATAGATAAAAATTTCTTGTAAATGAAATGGATTTCCCAACCACGTACAAATGATTGAATTAATATAAAAAGTCGAAAGAGATTATCGAAATTCATCATTTCAATCGTACTCGAATCTTTAATATCATCTAGAGAATTGTTGATTTGATCTTCTTTTTCTTTAATCGAACGAAAAACAGGACAATACAATGGTTTAGTATTCTCAATAGTTTATAAACACACACACACATACAAAAAAAAACCCTTGTAGATTCTTTTTATTTTTCTAAATCAATCTCGTTAGTTTACTATGAAAACAAAAAGCAATATTTTTATTGCATAGCTCCAGTAATGTTAAGTAACATTTGAGGACCATGTGGTAAATAGACGATATTTCATGATTTTGATAATTGATTTGCAATACCTTTAGCAGCTTCAATTCGTTGAAGTTTGATCAAACCTAACATAAATATTAAAACAAAGTATGACAGAATAATAAAAGATATTCGAAAATTTACCATCACCAGCTTCATCTAAAGCTTTGGCAATCAAATCAGCTAACTCATACAAATTTTATTCTTATTGATTTACTTTTTCGACTAAAAATCGTTGTTTTTCAACATCTTGTCGTGCAACTTGTTTTAATTCAACAGCACTTGTAAATTCAGGTCTCAAACTTAAATGTGTCTAATTTAAAGAAAAAAACTATATACAATCAACTCGAGACTGATTTCTTTGTCGTATCTTACAATTGAAATGTCATCAAGTAATAAACCAAATTGAGCAGCACGTTCTGTTAATAATTCACTAATACGTTGAGAAATAAGTGTACGTTGTGTAATCAATTCAATAGCATCAAATTGAGACTTAGTACCACAGATTTTAAAACTTCATTAATAATCAATGATAAAACACGTTCTTCATAATCTAAATCCAAATTTGCAAAAAATTTTTGGTAAAAGTTCAGCTCTTGGTCGATAAAGAATACGTAATGTTATATTAACTGTTTGTAAATCTAAAAAATAATAAATTGTAATTTATGCATATTTCATTTATACGAAGAAAAAATAACGAAGACTCCCTGCTGTAAGTTTTATGAAGTATCCTAAGATTGGTGAATGATGAGAGCGTAAAGGTGTAAACCGATCAGTTGAGTCGCCATCGATGGCCACAAAATTTTTTAAGATACTTCAGCCATATACATTCATTGATGTTTCAATAGACATCGTATTTACGTTCTTTTTTTCGCGAGCTTACATTTTCCTCATGCTTACCTATCTTCTGAAGTTGACTGTTTTCCTCTAGATTTAATACCTTTTGTTCCTGTTATTGATGGAACAGATCGTGGTCGTGTACGAATATCAAATATAATTGGTCTATGAAGCCATAAAATCATAAAATGAGTTCCTTCTCCAATAACATCTGGTTTAACACCTTGAAAACGATCAAAAATAACAGCTCGATGACCACCATCAACAAACATATATATATGTGTATTCAAATAAACCAATTTTTATCTTTTAATTACTTACCATTATAAAGCATAGAATTAATCACACCACCAGCAATAGGTAAACCAATACCAATTCTTCCTAAAATAATAAATTCTTCTATCGAAATAAAATATTATTAAATAAACGAGATGAAGCCATTGTCTTTTTTTTTCTTCTAAAAGAAAAACATGCATAATTATAATCAAATTAAATTTGTTTAGTTGTTTTGTTTTTATTAGCAAATAGTTTCAAAAAAAAAACGAAACCATATGAGAATTCTTCATATCTCTATCGATAGAAAAAAAAATGTATCACTATTTAATCTATCTATCTACTACAATAACAAACCAATGTAATAAAATACATAGAAAATGATTAAATAACAATAAACTTTGAAAGCAAAAAAAAAATACATGCATACTTTTAAACAAATCGAAATCCACTTGAAAAAATATGAGCACTGTTTTTTTTCTAGACAAAACAAAAGAAAAACAAAATGTGTATAAAGTTTAGCACCGTTCAGATATTGTTCACCATTGGGTTTTAATGAATTTGATATATCACTGTTCTTTGCTGCTACAGCAGCAATTGCTTCGGGTGCTGGAACAGTCTATAAAAAGAAATTATTTATATTATAAAAAAATAAAAATATTTTCAATTACTATTATTCCTGATTTTGTTGGAAAAAATTGTTGTGGAAATGATGCACCTTCAACACGAAAATCTTCAAGATTTTTATAATTTTTTAAAATTTCTTCAAGTTTTGGATTTATTTTTGGTTGTTGTCGTGAATATTTTAAAAATGCCCAGAATTTTTCTAAACCATACAACTGACCTAAATAGAAAAAAAAATATTTTCTTATTAACACTTCTTTTTTTTTTGTAATCTATTTTATTACCAGCTTCATGATCACGAAGAGTTTCTTGTTGAAAATCTTCAAATACATGTTGACGAAAATGTTTTTCTAAACCATATGTATAAAATCGAAATAAACATTCAACACCATATCTATACATAAATAATAATATTCAATTTTTTATAAAATAAAAAAAACAACAATTCATTTATATACCGATGAGGGTGTGGGTGGGTGTGGGTGTGGGTGTGTGTGGGTGTGGGTGTGGGTGTGGGTG